CTGCTCCCCCGTCCTTTCTCTCTCCCACTTCTTTTCCTACAATTTTATTTATTACCGGTATTCATATAGCGCCGACAATTTTGCGCAGCGCTTTACATAGTGCACATTCACATCTAAATCCCTTTCTTCTTTTTCTTTACTTTTTGACCTTGCACTTAATTTGTGTACCTTAAAACACTTCTCCTTTACTTCTTTATACCTGCCCCCGGTTTATATATAGCCCGGTTAGAACTGAGGATGGACCAACACCCCTTATTTTTCAGCGGTTAATCACTAGCATACATTCAATCCACACCTGGCTACTCATTTCCTTAGACCAACTTTGTAGTTATGGTTTAAAAGACTATTGTTCTTAAAGTGACATTAAAGTAAAAAAAAAATGTCCCTCCCCCCAATGTTAATGTCAGTACTTACCTTAAATGATGTCTCTTAATCCGAACTTCTTTCCTGATGTTTTCATCTGTCTCTCCAGCGGTGCGGCGCCTCTCCGATCCAGCGCTGACTCTTCTGTCCTTGCAAGCACTTCCTATCCCGTGGTGTCTGCATGCGTTCATAGACTTACCTTGCGTCTCTGCTCGTCTCCCGGACGAGAATCCAAACTGCGCATGCGCCCGCCCCAAGATGTTTTGCGGTCGCCCGAGCAGTTTTGGATTCTCGGACGGGAGCGCGCGGCAAAGACTGCTGTTTAAACTGCTGTTAAAGCGTTTTGTTTTTTTAAAAACTTTTTGCATACATCTACTGCTTTATAGCAGTAGATATATGCCAAAAAAAAACCGGAGGGTTTAGAAACCCTTTAATGTCTAGCTGTTGGATAAGATATACTGTGACCACATATTCTGGTTGTTTTATTTACATTGTGATGTTTCACTAATTTGTATCTTCCGTCCTTTCCCAGGCTTCATAATCTTTGAGATGTGTTGTTTGTTGAAAACCTTAATAAAAATTATTTTTGAAACCAAAAAATCATGAAACCTATCAGATCAGCATGACAGCCAGGCAACTAGCATGTCAAGAAAGTGGTTGTCATTAATAGTCCTCTACTTTTCTTATGACTGCATTTATTTATAAACCTGATCTCGAACAACACATTTGTGCCCCCACACTCACTCCCAGAAAAGGGGCTGTGAATGTTCACAAGATGACAGACTTGGGTGAGAAAATAACTTGGTTTGAGCGTGTTATCGTTAAAGTAGAAGTATGGCCCTTGACCACTTGGTACTAGACTGTCATATTGGACCCTTCAATTGTATGTAGCGCTCCCCCCCCACCCCCCCAACAGCAGCCCCGTAATA